CAAACCCGTGGGCTCAGGCAATCCCCTCACCTCAGCCTCCCAAAGTGCTGGGATTACAGGCTTGAACCTCCACGCCCTGCCTGTCTGTGCTTTTTATGTCTTAAGAAATCCCTAGCTGGGCTCGGTGGCTCAGCCTGTAATCCCGCACCTTTGGGAGGCTGAGGTGAGTGGACTGCCTGAACCTGCGGGTTCGAGACCTGCCTGGGCAACTTGGCGAAATCTCATCTCTACAATAAATCAAAAATTAGCCGGGCGTGCTAGCGTGCGCCTGTAGTTCCAGCTACTTGGAAGGCTGAGACGGAAGGATCGCCAGAGCCCAGCGGGTCGAGGCTGCGGTGGCCGGGAACGGCCACTGCACTCCAGTCTGGGTAACAGAGTGAGACTCCAACTCAAATAAAAAAAAAAAAAGAGAGAAAAGAAATCCCTAAGGACCATAAAGATTTTCTTCCATGTTTTCGAGTCCTTACACTTAGGTACACGGTCCATTTCAAGTTAACTTTTGTCATGGAGTGAGGTGGGGTTTCAGGTTTTTTGTGTGTTTTTCTCCAGTTGCCCCAGAAGCACCTCTGGAAAAGACAGTCCTTTCTCCACTGAGATCTTTTGGCACATTTGTCAAAAATCCATTGAGAATATGCATGTGTGTCTGTCTCTGGACTCTCTATTTTGATCCATTGTTCTGTCTGTCTATTCTTTTACCAATACTACGTTGTCTTGGTAACGAGCTTTAGAAAGTCTTGAAATCAGACAGTGTGAGTCTTTGTTGTTCTTCTACAAAACTATTTTGGCTATTCTAGATCCTTTAGACTTCCATTTCAATTTTAAAATGTGCATGTCAAATTCTGGAAAAATATGCCTACTTCAATCCATAGATCAATTTGGGAAGAATTGATATCTTAATGATGTTAATCTTCCATCCCATGGAGATGGCATATCTCTCTAGTATCTATTTTTGTGTGTATGGATATTTATTGATACATTGATTAAATCAGAAAAAGACCAGAAAACAGGCGAGGACCTAAATTTGTATCAATGAGGATGATTCGATTATGGCATATTCATCATTTAGAATACAGTCTCTCTGGGTGTGGTGGCTCATGCCTGTAATCCCAGCACTTTGAGATGCTGAGGTAAGAGGATTGCTTGAGCCCAGGAGTTTTGAGACCAGCCTGGGCAACATAGGGAGACCTCATCTCCACAGAAAATAAAAAATAAAAATTGTTTCAAAAATAAAAGAATACAGTCTGAAGAGAATGTGAAAAAATTAAGGAGTGCCTATGTGGTCTGATATGGAATATCTCTAAGACACAGCACAGGAAAAACTAAGGTACAGAATCAGATATACTAAACTACCACTTGTCATTTTTTAACTGGAAAGAAGTACATATAAATACACAAAGATAATGCATGTATATGCATGAAGTCTAACTGGGAAGACATTTAAGAAATAGTAACAGGTTGCTTGGGAAGGAGAATGAAAAGACTGGGGCTAGATGTGAAGAAAATATGGAAGGTATTATTTGAGTCCAAGAAGAAAGTACTTTTAAAATTCCCCCCTACCCCCACTTTGAATTTTTGAACAAAAACTTTTTTAAAGAATAAAATACTGTCAGTAGAGAAACATTTAAAGTATAGCAGGAACACTTAAAGTGTAGAATAAAAGGGAAACATGTCTCACACACAAAAACTGAAATTCTGTTATCAAGGCTAGGTGTGGTGGCTCATGCCTGTAATCCCAACACTTTGGGAGACTAAGTCAGGAGGCTTTCTTGAGGCCAGTTATTAGAGATCAGCCTGGGTAACATAGCAAGATCCTGTCTCTACAAAAAATATGTGTGTGTGTGTGTGTGTGTGTGTGTGTGTGTGTGTGTGTGTGTGTGTAATCCAGTATCTGTGTTTTAGAACTTGATAATAGATATTTCCATAACAGCTTGCTGAGGGGAAAAGACAGCAGAAATTGAAGTGAGATCTACCTGGCATTCTTCCTCCAGTCACACCATTTACTGTATGTAGATTTGGGGCTAGTTACTTAAATGCTCTGAGCTTCAGTGTCCAAAGTTATAAAACTAGGATAATATTTCCTTACTAGGACTATTGTCACAACTAAAGAAAATGGGCAGAAAATGGGTGTGGCAGCTCACACCTGTAATCCTAGCACTTTGGGAGGTTGAGGCAGGAGGATTGCTTGAGCCCAGGAGTTCAAGACCTGCCTGAGCCACACAGTGAAATCTTGTCTCTATTAAAAAAAAAAAAAACAAAAAATTAGTGGGGTTGTGATGTGGGCCTGTACTCCCAGCCACTCAGGAGACTGAGGTGAGAGGATCGCCTGAGCCCAGGAGGTCAGAGCTGCAGTGAGCCATGATCGTGCCACTGCCCTTCAGCCCTCCACCCTGAGACTCCACCTCAAAAAATAAAAATAAAAATAAAAGATGGGACGATGAAAACCCCCTCACATAATGTCTGACCCAAGCACTACTTTCTTCCTCCCTATAATCATAATGTAAAAAGACTTGTAAACTTGAACTTCCGATGAATAATAGTTCTATTGATATGTTAGAAAATAGTAGTCGAGATGTGGTGACTGGGTACACAAATACAGTTAGACAGAAGGAATAAATACTACTGCTCAATAGTCCAATAGGACAACTATAGTTAACAGTAATTTACTGTATATTTCAAAACAGTTAGACGATTTGGAAAGTTCCCAACACAAAGAAACCATAAATGTTTGGGGTGATGGATGTCCTAGCTATCCAGATTTGATCATTACACATTGAATGCTTGTATGGAAATATCACGTGTCCCACAAATATGTACAACTATTGTGTATCCATAAAAATGAAAAATACAGAAGAAGTTTTTAAAGATCTGACTCCTATCAGGAGAGTTAGTTTCCTCATTTGTTTCTCTACATATTGAATTTGAGCTTCCTCTGCACCGGGGAGAACTATACACTGGTTCCCCTGCACATGACTGGCTCTGCTCTCCCGATTTTTGCAGAGAATGCCAGCACCAAGCCAAGTCCATCGATGGTGAGATTGAGGCTTACAAGAAATCAATCGTGAAGGAGGAAGAAAAGAACGAGAAGCTGGCAGGCATCCTGAACCGGACGGAGACGGAAGCCAACCTGATGCAGAAGCTGACCACCCAGTGCCTGACCAAACAGGTGGCCCTGCAGAGCGAGTTCAACACCTACAGGCTCACCCTGCAGGACACGGAGGACACCCTGAGCGAGGGCCACCAGGTGCGGCCGGGCCCGCCCCGTGGGTCATGCCTGGCCCACGCCAGTGCCTCTTCCAGAATGTCCAGCCTGTGACTTTTCCTTTCCAGGAGCACACTGCAGTCGTGGGCGAGTTGCAGGTCGTGCACCAAGCCATCCACCAGGAGCTGGAGCTGAAGAGGAAGATGGAAGCCTCCATCCGCGAGAAGCTGCAAGAGCACATGACCTCTAACAAGATGACCAAGTACTTCAACCAGCTCATCCTGAAGCTGCAGAAGGAGAAGACCAATATGGTAAGCTGCCCTTGTCCAGAGGGGGGCATGCGGGGCGCCCCGCTCCATCCTGGGGATAGGAGGGGCAGAGTCAACCTGAGCAGAGGGGCCTTGGCATGGCCACTCATTTCCACTGTATTCTAGTTGTAAAGGCAATACATTTTCATTGTAGAAAACCTGGAAATACACAAAAGCATAAAGAAGAAAATAAAACAGCTCTAGTCCCAGCATTCAGAAATGATATTTTTATTTTTTATTTTATTTTATTTTATATTGAGTTGGAGTCTCACTGTCGCCCAGATTGGAGTACAGTGGCATGCTCCCGGCCATCGCAGCCTCACCCTGCTGGGCTCCAAAGATCCTTCCACTTCAGCCTTCCAAGTAGCCGGAACTACAGGCACACACTACCACGCCCGGCTAATTTTTGATTTATTGTAGTGATGAGGTCTCGCCAAGTTGCCC